TGACAGCTTTAGCTCAGTTCTATGCTCTATACTCTCATAGAGCACTCTCTTTCACCCAATGACAGCGCGCGTTATATCCGAACTTTATTATAATTCCTCATCAGGTCCAATCCAGAGATTCCATGATCGAAACCATGAAAATGTCACCTCTGCCACGAGAGTTATTGCGTAAGGTGATTATGCTGAATGTTATATAACTGAGTACTCCCCATTTTTGTATTACCTTTGTTTTTCGTTCATAAATATTTTCCTGTTGCACATCTCTGGCCATTCCAAAGTCTGTTACCTTACATGTTCCGTTTTCTCCAACTAACACATTACGGGCTGCAAGATCTCGGTGGATGATCTAAAGGAATGGATTGTGAAGGAAGCGAAGATCAGTAATTAAAAGAGGAAAAAAACTGAAAAAAGGTTCAGTTCTGAAAAAAGGCCATATTTAGCGAAATCAACAACGTGCGTATTTCTTATAAGCCTAAGTGATAATAAATTAAATGTGCTAGTACTGATACAGCTTCCAAGAGAAATGGAGAAAATTTTCTTTCGATAATCAGTGAACTTTTGGCAATTGAAAACTTTAAAGGAGTCAATGAGACCAAAATAAGTCGAGAGTGAGGTACATCTGCAAGGCTGCACGACGATCGCCAACCGAAAATAGAAAAATGATGATAATAACAAAAAAACATGGGTGATAGCATTGAAAATTGGAGGGTGCACCCTACAAACCCGAAACCAAACAGTAAGAATATGTTTGCTCCCGTGAGGTGTATTTTTAAGATATCAAATAGTATGCATGAAGGAAAAGCTTACCATGACGGTACGCCCCACAAGGAATTTTTACAATTATATTATGCCTTTCGTATTTGTGACTTACAGATTTTGAGGACAGGTAACTCATGCCATCGGCGATTTGCCAGGAAAACTTCATCAACTGTTGTGACGTCAGATTCGTTTGTGGTTTAATATCCGGGTCTTTGTAGTAAGTGTCATTTAATCCACGGCTCTTTCTTAGGTAACCAAGCAGATCTCCAAAAGGAACATATTCAATCAGTACCAGAGGTTCCTCTGAAAACCAAAAGAAAGCGTTTTCCTAAAACTTGAAGCAAATGATATTGACGAGATAGTCTTAGATGGTAAATTTACAAGGAAAATGCGTATGGTAAAACAAAACCTACACAACCAAAACATACCAGATTCTGTAACACATCCCAGAAGTTTGATGACGTGAGGATGTTTTTTGAGCTTCTTCATCGTTTCAAGTTCTTTCATCAAATCTCTCTTGTCCGATTCAGCAGCGTCAGCTGGAGAATTAAATGCAAATATTTATAATATGCATAACAAAAACCTAAAAAAGGAAAAAAAAAAAGAGGTAAGAAATATTCTGAAATCAATACTTGACTCACTTTTAAGCATCTTAATGGCCACTGTAGTCGTATCAGGTCTCCCTTGAAGTCCTACTGCCGTTCCCTTGGCAACCTGTCCAAAAGAACCATTGCCAATGACTTTTTCGATTGTAACATTATGTCTTGGAACTTCCCAGGAGTGTTTTGCTGGATGAAGAGGCGCGTAACCTG